CAATGCTAAGTTGAAAAGGCTCGTCTCTGCAGGGACAAAAATAAAAAAAACTGACAAGAACATACCTTGTCTATATAACTGACTGCCACATCGTAATGTTCTTGTTTTACGGCTAGAACTGCTCTCAGCATAGCGCCATCTTGCGTATTGTCATTGATCTGAGAGACGTAATCCTCCATCGCTTGCCATTCACCTACAAAATCCTCTGCCTCCTTATTGTAACTGCAGTTGAAAAAAAATGTGGGCCAGAACGATAAAATACTTCGTTGGCTTGTCACAATGCATTGAACAGGGATTGATAATTTGCCTTGAACCTGTATGGAGCCACTTCTATTCGGAATCGTAGTGGCTTATCGACTGCAATGTGGCCTATACAAAGGAGCCAGCCAATTACAAGTCAGAGTTCTTATCGTAGCAGACGTATTTGGTACAATTTGCCGTTACCGAACGGGGTTCGACCTCCGGAGTAGTAAGGGGCCACTTGCCGCAGACCTAAGGTTTCCCGATTGAGTAACCCGAATTCATCCTCCACAAGAAATCCATTTTATATAGAGAATTTTATATAGAGAAGATACAAAAACCTGAGAGAAAAAAAAGAGAAGAGTGTGACACTCTTACCGACTGCCCATGCTCCGCGTGCAGCCATCACAGCAACCTTCTGATCCTTTCGTTGTACGGTTCGTGCACGTTCGTTCAGTTCACTCCAACGTCCTAACGCCTCCAGGCATCGCATTTGGTGCCCGATCATCTCGTCGGACGACGGTTCCGGATCGGACTTCAAGCAGCGGAAGTTATTTCATTTGTTATGCTCTATTTCATATATTTTTGCGATTTGAATAATAGTTGGCAAGTTGGATAGGTCGACTCGTTAGAGACCGACACGTCATGACCGGAGGTCTGATCAGAACGACTGGTAGCGGTAAAATAAGGTACATATGGACGCTGGATACAGTGAGAAGTCAAAACTCTTCTTTCAGTAGGTTCGAAAGGCAGATTCAGGACCAGTATTCTGAACCATACGGAGAGATAACCCCTTCCCTCCCTGATGAACCTGTTGATCTGAGCATGATGCATATA